AATGTTAGATACGGGGACACAAGTGAAACCACTGCTTGCTAGTAACGCACTGACGTTTATTGTTGGCACTTATTGGTGCGTCGGCACACGCACACCTACCTACATACCTAACACTCCTCCCCTTAGCTTACAAATACAACCCCAAACTAAGCTACTTACTAGCTATAGCTAAACATAAGTTTCTAACTAAGTTATCTCTAGTAGAACAGTTTATAGTTCACTTTAGGACGATTGCGTTTAGACCGTGGTGTTCGTACAGGTTCACCGTCCTGCTGTTGTAGTGGCACTCCTCCAGGATTTTCAGTGCTAAACGACCCGTCTAACGCTTCCTGGTACTCTTCCTCCTCCCCAGCTTGATACGGTGTTGTAGGCCGTGACACAACAACTCGGGCTGTACCTGGCGGTGTGACAGCCCTTGCCTGAGGAGAATTATTTGTAGCCACTATCGAGTCTTCGTTTCCTTCGCCTGTGCCTGATGGTGGCCCATGTTCAGGAACCAGCGTCTCTGTTGTTGAGCCACCACTTTCCTCGTCTATATCTAACTCCAAGTCTCTTCCGTCATAGCAATCGTCGCCTTTATACTTTATTATCTGGTTTTTATGTTTTCTGACAATGTTCGAAGTTACCTTATCTTTAATTACATATAACACTCTGCCGACTTTTTTCATGACTGTCCCTTTGCACCATGTGAATTTACCATTAACTTTGTGATTTTTATAATAAACGATGTCACCGGGTGCGAAAACTTGAGTGTTATGACCTCCCGTCTTATTTTGCAAACACTGTTTACGTTTAACCATATTAGCATGAGCTGTGGATGAAGGCGATGGCGGTTCGGGTTTCAATAGGTCAAAACGCGTTCTGAGCTTCCGACCATACACCAACTCAGCCGGGGACAACCCGGTTAAAGTGTGAACGGAATTCCTGTAATCGAACAAGAATTTCAAAAGATTGTTATTTAAATTTCGCGCGCTATTACCACTAAGCAAGCTTGTCTTAATACCCTTCTTTATTATCTTAACATAACTTTCCGCTTGCCCATTACTGGCCGCGTGATATGTCGGTGATGTCACGTGTGAAATCCCGTTCACCCTACAAAAAGCTTCAAAGTCATGTGACTTAAACGATGTACCATTGTCGCTAACCAGAGTATGCGGAATACCAAATCTTGACATGAATTCGTATAACTTGTCAATTGTTGCTGAAGTAGAAGTATTACACTTCATATTATAAACCTCAACCCACTTGGAATAAGCATCCACTACTACTAGAAAAGTGCTACCGCTAATAGGGCCTAGAAAATCAATATGTATCCGGTAAAATGGCGTTGGAGGATATTCCCAGTGAGCAATCGGCGCCCGTGCCGGTGACGGTCGTGATTGCATGCACACGTCACATGATCCTATTAAACGCTCTAAAGCAGCGTCGATTCCCGGGAACCAAACACGCGCTCGCGCCTCCGCTTTTGTTTTTACAATACCTAAATGGGATTGATGTAATTCCATTAAAATTTTTGTTCGTAGCTTTTCCGGAATTACAACTTTATGTCCCCGCATAATACAACCATTTTCATAAGACAATTGTGTCCTACATGCGTGAAACGGTTTCACCCCTTCGTCTGACATTTTCCTAGGCCATCCGTTCAACACAAAGTCTATCACCTTACGCAAGATTGAATCAGTCTCCGTCGCATCGCGTAATATTTTTAAAGTTACTGGGAGACTACCCTCCAACACAAAATTAATGTATGATGCGCGATCAAGATCAGGCAACGTCGTATCGACGCCCCGCATGTCCCTATCCGTCCCCGCCCCCTCGGGCAGGCAAGCGCGAGATAAGAAATCCGCACTGTTATTTGCGCTACGCACATATTCAATTTGATAATTATAACCGCTCAGAAACAGTGCGTATCTCTGAAGTCTGTTTGCTGAGACTTCAGGTATACCCCGGTGCGGTCCAAAAATCGATAATAACGGCTTATGATCTGTTCGAAGAATAAACGGAACCGACCTGCCATACAATTATTGGTGGAAACGCCTAACTCCGAAAATAATCGCGGTTGCTTCCTTCTGGATTTGCGAATAACGTTTCTCAGCAGCATTAAGTGTCCTTGATGCAAATGAAATCGGTCTCTCCGACCTATCAGTTTCTACTTGTGATAATATTGCAGACAGACCCACCGGCGACGCATCTACTGTTAAAATTATAGTGGCCTCCGGGTTAAAATGCGCTAACACTTGATCTGACGCTAAACAAGATTTAATAGCGGTAAACGCTTCATCATGTTTTTGTGTCCAACACCACCTGCTACTTTTTTTTAACAACTCATACATAGGGCTTAAAATAGAAGACGCGTTGGGAACAAAGTTCCTTTAATAATTAACCAATCCTAAAAATGACTGCAATTGATTAATGTTAGATGGCACTGGAGCTTCTATCATAGCTTTTATTTTCTGTGGCGATTTATGTAGTCCGTCTTTATTTATCACGTAACCTAAGTAATTAACCTCGTCTTTGAAAAACATACACTTTTCTTTTTGTAAGGTAAGCCCCGCATCTTGCAATTTCGCTAAAACTTGATGTAATCTACTCAGATGTTCCGATCTTGTTTCTCCCGTTATCAAGATATCATCAAGCATGCAGAGTGTGCCGGGCACGCCAGCCAGCACGCCTTCCATCGCGCGCTGAAACACGGCCGGCGCGCTTGCAATACCAAAACAAAGCCGCGTTTGTTTGAAAAGTCCTCTATGCGTATTTATGCACGTTAATTCTTGTGACTCATCATCTAACATAAACTGATTGTATGCACTTGACAGGTCCAACTTGGTAAACTGCTGTCCCCCATATAACTTAGAAAAAAGTTCGGTTACCGTTGGTAAAGGATACTGATCGATCATTAACTGTTTGTTTACACCGGTAGAAAAATCAGCGCATATACGTATTGTTCCGTTTTGTTTTAACACGGGCACGATGGGTGACGCATACCGCGCGTGATCAACCGGTTTCAATACACCGAGCCTTACTAAACGATCTATTTCGTTATCTACTTTATTTTTCAAAGCGAACGCTAGCGGTCGTGCCCTAATGAAAACTGGTTTTGCGTCTTCCTTTAAATGTAATTTTACTTTAAATTTATTAAATAATCCTAATTTATCAGAAAAGACTGCTGGATACCGACCTTGCAGTGTTAGAAACCAATCGTTTTCATCTACTCTGTCACAATATTGTATCGGTAACATTTCTAATTTAAATTTTGAAATGAAATCGCGGCCAAGAATTGGCGGGCCGCCGTCCCGCACGACGTAAACACTTAGTACATGCGATGTGTTCGCATAGCTCACTTGTAACTGCACTATACCCTCACAAACAATTTTATCACCCGTATATGAAAATAACCGTTTACTAGTCATTAACAATGGTACATTACTAAAATATGTTTCATAGGTTTCTTTAGAAATTGCTGTAACGGCTGATCCGCTATCAATTTCGAATTTTAATTCGATTCCAGATACCAATACTGTTTCTATCATTGGTTCCCCTTTTACGGATCGAATATTAAAACACTCACCGTCATCATCGCTTTCATCCACAGCTTTCGATTCGACATAATTAATATTTTTGCACATCCTACGCAGATGCCCTGTAGCATTGCATTTCCTACACTTCGCCTTTGCGAACCGACACTGGGATGTCTCGTGATTATGATAACCACATACTTGACACTGCACTTTCACTCCCGAACCAGACGCGGCCTCACGATGCGATGACGTTGCCGACTCCTTTGTCCGCGCAATCTTAAACAGCTGATCGCGTGGCGCAGCCTGCTGCCCGGCGCCCGCTGCCTCACGAGCTCTTCGCGCATTCTCCGCCAACTCCATCGCCTTTGTTAATGTTAGGCCCGCTAGATCTTTCGAGAAAAGCTTTTCTCTGTCCGCTCCCGGCAACATTCCCATGACAAATTTGTCCCGAAGGGCTTCCTCCACATTGGAAAACCCACAGTGCGCCGTCAGACCTCGCAATCTCGCCGCCCATTGTGCATACGTCTCCCCCTCCTGTTGTGTGGCCGCGTAAAACTTGAATCTTTCGCCGAATCCACACCGCTTTGGAGTAAAATGTTCATCCAGAAGTCTCAGAATGTCCTCATACGGCACGTCCTGCAGCTGTTTCGGCAACGCGAGATCCACTGCCAACTTGTGTGTGCCATCCGCGAGTGCGCTCAGCAGAATGGCTCGTCGCTTTATCCCCGTAGGATCGCTCACTTCCGTGATGTCGTTAGCCACATACCACTGATTAATGCGGCCTTTGTACGTCTCCCAAGATTGTACATTGTGGTCAAACACCGATAAAATTCCAAACCCCGTAACGGACATTGTTACTTTATTTTACGCGGGTAGGTCCTCGTCGCCAATGTTAGATACGGGGACACAAGTGAAACCACTGCTTGCTAGTAACGCACTGACGTTTATTGTTGGCACTTATTGGTGCGTCGGCACACGCACACCTACCTACATACCTAACATTTACGCAAGGTTGAATCAGTCCCCGTCGCGTCGCGTAACGTTTTTAAAGTTACAGGGAGACTACCCTCCAACACAAAATTAATGTATGACGCGCGATCAAGATCAGGCAACGTCGTATCGACGCCCCGCATGTCCCTATCCGTCCCCGCCCCCTCGGGCAGGCAAGCGCGAGATAAGAAATCCGCACTGTTATTTGCGCTACGCACATATTCAATTTGATAATTATAACCGCTCAGAAACAGTGCGTATCTCTGAAGTCTGTTTGCTGAGACTTCAGGTATACCCCGGTGCGGGCCAAAAATCGATAATAACGGCTTATGATCTGTTCGAAGAATAAACGGAACCGACCTGCCATACAAATATTGGTGGAAACGCCTAACTCCGAAAATAATCGCGGTTGCTTCCTTCTGGATTTGCGAATAACGTTTCTCAGCAGCATTAAGTGTCCTTGATGCAAATGAAATCGGTCTCTCCGACCTATCAGTTTCTACTTGTGATAATATTGCAGACAGACCCACCGGCGACGCATCTACTGTTAAAATTATAGTGGCCTCTGGGTTAAAATGCGCTAACACTTGATCTGACGCCAAACAAGATTTAATAGCGGTAAACGCTTCATCATGTTTTTGTGTCCAACACCACCTGCTACTTTTTTTTAACAACTCATACATAGGGCTTAAAATAGAAGACGCGTTGGGAACAAAGTTCCTATAATAATTAACCAATCCTAAAAATGACTGCAATTGATTAATGTTAGATGGCACTGGAGCTTCTATCATAGCTTTTATTTTCTGTGGCGATTTATGTAGTCCATCTTTATTTATCACGTAACCTAAGTAATTAACCTCGTCCTTGAAAAACATACACTTTTCTTTTTGTAAGGTAAGCCCCGCATCTTGCAATTTCGCTAAAACTTGATGTAATCTACTCAGATGTTCCGATCTCGTTTCTCCCGTTATCAAGATATCATCAAGCATGCAGAGTGTGCCGGGCACGCCAGCCAGCACGCCTTCCATCGCGCGCTGAAACACGGCCGGCGCGCTTGCAATACCAAAACAAAGCCGCGTTTGTTTGAAAAGTCCTCTATGCGTATTTATGCACGTTAATTCTTGTGACTCATCATCTAACATAAACTGATTGTATGCACTTGACAGGTCCAACTTGGTAAACTGCTGTCCCCCATATAACTTAGAAAAAAGTTCGGTTACCGTTGGTAAAGGATACTGATCGATCATTAACTGTTTGTTTACACCGGTAGAAAAATCAGCGCATATACGTATTGTTCCGTTTTGTTTTAACACGGGCACGATGGGTGACGCATACCGCGCGTGATCAACCGGTTTCAATACACCGAGCCTTACTAAACGATCTATTTCGTTATCTACTTTATTTTTCAAAGCGAACGCTAGCGGTCGTGCCCTAATGAAAACTGGTTTTGCGTCTTCCTTTAAATGTAATTTTACTTTAAATTTATTAAATAATCCTAATTTATCAGAAAAGACTGCTGGATACCGACCTTGCAGTGTTAGAAACCAATCGTTTTCATCTACTCTGTCACAATATTGTATCGGTAACATTTCTAATTTAAATTTTGAAATGAAATCGCGGCCAAGAATTGGCGGGCCGCCGTCCCGCACGACGTAAACACTTAGTACATGCGATGTGTTCGCATAGCTCACTTGTAACTGCACTATACCCTCACAAACAATTTTATCACCCGTATATGAAAATAACCGTTTACTAGTCATTAACAATGGTACATTACTAAAATATGTTTCATAGGTTTCTTTAGAAATTGCTGTAACGGCTGATCCGCTATCAATTTCGAATTTTAATTCGATTCCAGATACCAATACTGTTTCTATCATTGGTTCCCCTTTTACGGATCGAATATTAAAACACTCACCGTCATCATCGCTTTCATCCACAGCTTTCGATTCGACATAATTAATATTTTTGCACATCCTACGCAGATGCCCTGTAGCATTGCATTTCCTACACTTCGCCTTTGCGAACCGACACTGGGATGTCTCGTGATTATGATAACCACATACTTGACACTGCACTTTCACTCCCGAACCAGACGCGGCCTCACGATGCGATGACGTTGCCGACTCCTTTGTCCGCGCAATCTTAAACAGCTGATCGCGTGGCGCAGCCTGCTGCCCGGCGCCCGCTGCCTCACGAGCTCTTCGCGCATTCTCCGCCAACTCCATCGCCTTTGTTAATGTTAGGCCCGCTAGATCTTTCGAGAAAAGCTTTTCTCTGTCCGCTCCCGGCAACATTCCCATGACAAATTTGTCCCGAAGGGCTTCCTCCACATTGGAAAACCCACAGTGCGCCGTCAGACCTCGCAATCTCGCCGCCCATTGTGCATACGTCTCCCCCTCCTGTTGTGTGGCCGCGTAAAACTTGAATCTTTCGCCGAATCCACACCGCTTTGGAGTAAAATGTTCATCCAGAAGTCTCAGAATGTCCTCATACGGCACGTCCTGCAGCTGTTTCGGCAACGCGAGATCCACTGCCAACTTGTGTGTGCCATCCGCGAGTGCGCTTAGCAGAATGGCTCGTCGCTTTATCCCCGTAGGATCGCTCACTTCCGTGATGTCGTTAGCCACATACCACTGATTAATGTGGCCTTTGTACGTCTCCCAGGATTGTACATTGTGGTCAAACACCGATAAAATTCCAAACCCCGTAACGGACATTGTTACTTTATTTTACGCGGGTAGGTCCTCGTCGCCAATGTTATATACGGGGACACAAGTGAAACCACTGCTTGCTAGTAACGCACTGACGTTTATTGTTGGCACTTATTGGTGCGTCGGCACACGCACACCTACATACCTAACAGACTCATAACATAAATAGTGGAAAGTGGGTGTTACATTGTATAGAGGCATTAAGTGCCGTTATAATATGCACCTCTGGCTACCTCTTTGGGGATAAAAAGGCGTGATGTTATGTTATAAAAGATACAAGCTTTATATTACAAGCTTTATATTAACCAGTTAAGTCTTTCCGTCACCGGCGTACAAATGTATTAATTTAATTTATCATTTATTAAGTGAATAAATATTTCAATAGTCAGATCTTTAAATAGTCTAGTAATATTACAATAGTTATTAAATTTAAACTATAGGGTGATGCTCTGTCTGTATAATTTTAAATATTTGACAATAGGGTACTCGACCACTAGTCAAATTCAATACTTTTTTCGAACTGTCAAAAACTACTGTTATCTATGAATTTTGTACGAGATTGTGCATTGTGACGTCACGTTTTATAGCAACCTTATTTTATTTTAATTTGATGGAACAATACTAAAATTGAGTTGATCATAAAATCAATTAATGAAAGTGTGATTGTTGATATTCCCTCTCCAAAAAAAAAGTATGACGCCTATTGCTTACCATCAGGTGAGCCGCCTTCACATTAGCGAACTTAATACATAAAAAATTATGACAATTCGTACCGAATATCTCTATCTTCTATCTCTCTCACACACACTATCTCTTTCTATCACATTCTCTTATGATACTCACAAGCCAAGTTGATGAGCAGGCTCCCCCCGCCGGCGTGAGCTCCGAACATGCTCGGAGGTGCTGCCAGCATGCTCGACAAGTTGTTCAGTAACGTCTTCACTAGAAGCGGAGCGTGCATTCCGTAGCGACCTTGGAAAAGGGTTCTGCAAAAAGAAGCGAAATTGTCAGTTATTTTTTATAATAATCAGTCTGTTTCCATCCTCTGCTGGAGTGGACTTAGGAAAAACCACAAGTTTTACAGGTTTCAGGACAAATGTTTACGTATCGGTAATTAATACACTACACGATGCTGAATACTGCATACTTGTTTCTTTCTTTTTTTTCCTTGCTTCATCTTTTTTATTAGTAAATTTTGGTTACTTGATGCGAACAAAACAATTTTCAGACGGAAATGTGAACGCATTAAATATTAAGACCGTTTTGAAAATGTTAACAAATTTTACCGATCGGTATCATGGCAATATGTCTGAAAATTGTTGGACATGATAAAATAAGTTGTCCATATGTGCAAAAAATGTATATCAGACAAAATAAGTGTAGCACCTTCTCTATCAGACAACTTTTCGATACTCAGATATTTTTGACACAGCAGAAATGGCCTCCTACGCAGTTGCTACACTTTCGACCGTTACTACACACCTAGTCGGGTTCAGAAGCATACAATCTAACCATTTTATAGGGTTTTTGCCGTATTGCTATGAGACATGGTTTTGGTCGTCATCTCTCGTACTATGATTGTATGACTGGGGGGGAGGGGTTTAATCATACGATATTTAGTTGCCTATACTGTCTCGAAAACCTGTGCACGCCACTGCCATCTAGTAACATATTTTGCTTACCTGTATATAAGAGACGTGTCGACCAACCGCGTCTGGCCATGCACGCCGGCGAACATGTACACAGACATGAGCACCAACATAGTATTGATGCACTCCAAATGAAGGTAGTATGTGTTGTCCCTGAGAATAATAAATTCACATTAATGTTGGGACAAGCTTTATTAAAACTATATTTTTTTAAGGGGAAAAGTTATCGAAAGGCTCCGGCTCGACGTGCAGGGGAAGGAACGGGGTGGTTTTTAGTCAGTAAGAGTCTGACACTCCCTCCCGCCTCACCCAGGCGAAGAGCAGTCATTCGATGATTTTCTCCCCTTAAAAAAGCCCTAGATGAAGCGAGAGGGAATGTCGGAGTCTTATGGATTAAATACCACACTATTCGAACTCCTACTTCGAGCTGGAGTCATACAACTCCTTGTGTTTCTCCGATCCGGTTTTATTTACAACCTTGGCGTATGCTAGGGGTCGCCAAAAAGAAAAAAAATATTTATCAAACAAAGATAAACCTGAAACCTATGATAAACCTGAACGTTTTAAAGTGCAATAATATCACCAATTTGTTTTTGTTATATGTTTCCTTTTTTCTGTTTTATTAACATAACATAACATCACGCCTTTTATCCCCGCTGCCTACCCCGGCAGAGGTGCACGTTATGCCACTGTACAATGTAACACCCACTTTTTCACTATTTATGTTAAGAGTCCCATGTAATATGGGATGGGCCTTTTGCCATATACCGGGCACAATTCCAGACTCCGTGCTACTACTGTGAATTTTATGAAAAACCCAGTAATACTTTGCCCGAACCGGGAATCGAACCCTCGGCCCCTCGGCCAATGAGGCAGTATTCTGTTTTATTAAGGTATTTAAAACAATTACTCACGTAACAGGAACATCAATGATGAGTCCAATTAACGCATCGATGAGCATCTCAACCCGGCTCTCAGTCCCCGCCAATTTGGGGGAGACGGGAGCTTCTAGGACTTCTGGGGTTGCTGGAGAGGCCAGCGGTGAGGGGGAGGTCTCTTGTGACGGCTGGGAGGTCAAACGTGTTGGATTAGCTTTGTTTTGAATAAAATAAACTTTAAAAAAATGCGATAGATAGTTGTAAACCACCTCCACAAGGAATAATAGACTTGACGACATAAGTAAGTAACATATTTAACTCGTTGAGTACCGTTATTATAGACACAATTATAGAACAATAGGTTGCGGTCACCGGTGACCGCTTGGTGTTTGACAGTTTAATCTCAAGTAGAAACATTGATGGGAGCAACAGTGAGCTGCTCGACGTCGCCGCGACCTGCTCATGAGGAAGAACCCCTCTGTGGTTCGAAACTAGTAGAGCTTTTCTCAGTATATCCACGTGAGTAACCCGCGATTTTACTTAGTTAACATTGAATCTCCATAATCTACTATATAAAAATAGGTCGGGTTTTCCTTCCCGCCGCTATAACTCCAGAACGCACGAACCGATTTCCACGGTTTTGCATTCGTTGGTAAGGTCTCCGGCTCCGTGAGGTTTATAGCAAAAAAAAAATTCAGGAAAATAAAATTTTTCTTCATCGTTTAATCACCAAACGGAATGTTACATAAAACGAAGTAATCTGGTGGCGAAACGGAGTTCGTCGGGTTTGCAAGTTAATTTATAATTATTGCTGATGTATAATTGGTGGCTTGTTCGGCCGCTAGTCACTTAAACTGTCAAACACCAAGCGGTCACCGGTGACCGCAACCTATTGTTCTATAATTGTGTCTACAATGACGGTACTCAACGAGTTAAGGGCCAGTAGGATACCAGCGCAAGGCCCTATCCTGCTCATGCTTAACTGGTCCCATTTCACGGCAGACAGGTGAGTTCAATGGGATTGACATTCAATTTTTGAGTAAAAACGTTTTTAAGAGACAAATTCGGACATCTCTTATGTCACTGTGTTGTTATGTATACTCTGTCGTTTCTTTGTTTTTTTTTTATATCAATTTAAATATGTATATATTTTATTTGTCCTTTTCTTTTTTAATTTTGTATTTTTTTGTATCTGTGTGCGCTGTGCGTGCCTACTGTCGAATAAATGCTTTTTTCTTTCTTCTTATGGACCGACAGTCTGTCTGTGACGCAGTGTGTGTACGGAATTGTATAAATTGTTAAAAAAAAAATTGTGATAATTTTAATAATTCGCGTAAGTGGTGCATCGTGAAGCTGTTGTCTTGTTTCACATTAGTTTATTCAATTTGAAAAAAATACCTATGTTTGTGTGACTCAAGATCTAATATAAAAAGTAATCTGTGGAAAACGTAGTGGGTAACATATTAGCTAAGTATAATATGTAAACCCAATTATGTATATTTTGTAATATGTTACTATATGTTTTTCCTTAATAAATAAATAGACTTGAGACATTAGTTAGTTAGTTTTTTAGTCAAATTTCCGTGGTGCTTGGCGACTGGGCTTCACCCAGTTGTACAGTCTCTTCTTTGTGCCTTTAGGCTTAATTCATTCTGTCTCCTGCAGTAATTCACCGAGGGAAGTGGAAACTATAGTTTTTTCTTCTT